CCCTTCGGCAAACACATCACGAGGGTTGCAACGAGGTCACAGGTCAGGCGTGCACTCGTCAGTTGTCTAATACGGTCAAGAGTAAGATCTTCCGGAAGACCACTGCACTGGAGGTATGTGGATTATTGAGGAGGTACTACGTGTTTGGAACTGGGAGTTGAACACTAAGCACTTTTAGAGAAGAGCTCACAATAAAACGTTATGTACTCGCGGACGGACTTGTGTTTTCATTTCAAGACGTACATTTATCAGGTTGAACTTCCTAACTGTAACAATAACTGAACTTTACGCCTTTTATACACATTTGTGATGGGGCGACAATGCGACAACGAGACATATTTTGACCTTGAAAATGTCGCGTTACGGCATCGTCGCCCTTTTGTAAAATAAAGAAAAGGATTATCAAAGAGCGACAATGCGAACACGCGACAATGCGACAAATGGCCAATTGTCGCGCTTTTGTTAATTTTGACACGTTTTGCTTGTTTTTGTAAAGGCGTCAATGCGACAATGCGTCAACGAGACAATGTCCCTTCCATAGTAATCCGTGCAAATAAAACTGAGTAATGAAATAGAAGTCTGACATGCCAGTTAAAAGATAGAGTGTTGCAGCTTCTGATTTCATAGATCTTCAAGAAGGGTTATCAATAATGGGATGGGTGATGAGTTCAACTACATACGCTGTGATTAACAATAATGCTCCGAGTCAATACATTTTGTCAAATGTATGACATGTATTACGTGAATGAACATAGTGTTTATACTCGTCCATGTTTTTGACGGACAAAATAATTTACATGCTCGGTAAAACTGAGGACGGGCATCATTGTGTGTTTCCGTGCTTTGTTCAGGTGAACAATTGACTTGTCCTTGCATGTGTTTGTGACGGGTGTCACTTGTGTGGCAGGATACGCTCACCTTTTCCCGAACACCCATTGGATGACCTGAACCACTTCGGATTTTTATCCCACATCAGTCTGATACACCATGATATAACTGAAATACTGAAATACTGTACAGTTGAAAATGATGTTTAATGCGATTACCGTAGTGTGTTACTGCAACTGTTCATATTTTGTGCAGTGATGTTATGTAATATGTAAAAGAAAGCATATTCAATTATCCAATTGATTTGAATAGAATAAACTTGCGTCAGTGTATTTTATTAACGCCCCAAATCTTAATTTAAACACATAAAATAACAGATCACGCATGGTGCCTTGACTTACTATTAGATTTAATGGGCCACCCCGGAATAAAATAGTTCCCCCCAAAGCGAGGAACATGTTTTAGTATGTTTACAAGAAATATATTCCAAACAATATCCTCATTAGATGAGAAGATCTTTTACAGAATTACCTCAGTAAGTCAATTACAATGACAGAGCGTCGTAATACATTTACATCAAGTACAATACGTCAAAATGGCCGACACGATAAACGTGACGGGAGATATTTTCGAAGTTGTTAATTAACCTGTGGCTATTTCAAGCCTTTGGCATCACTGATCAATTGGCCGATCATTGAAAGGTGATTGTGAAGATGTGTCAAATAGATACTAAGGTAAATTCATAGATTTCTGTAAATTGTCACTGCGACAGTTTGGATTTTTTTTCGTGTTTTTTCTCTCTGGGATGGGTTGTAGCGAGGGTATCCTTAAATGGGCTTGCAACCACGCTTCTGTATGAATTCGTACCAGGGAATTCCAAGGGTTTTCCCAAGGAATGTGGAAGTAGTCAGTGTTTACGCCTTTTCAAGAATACAGTCACGTGAAGAACGTCATGTGACCGACCTCGCGTCCAAGTCGTATATCTTGTAAACTTCACATTAAAAAAATAGTTATTGTTATAACCAAATGAAACACAACCCATTATCCGATAGGGGTAACTGTACATAGCCGTTACCACAATAAACTTAGTAACATTGTTTGGTTTGACTTCTTGGCGCGTGTCTGAATTCCATTAACATGTAACATATCCTAAAACTAGCTTATCAGCAAATCTCGCTGCACTGCGCGCGACAGATACTAGAGCAAGGCATGCCAGAAATACGAAACCTAAAGCTTCCGAAAGGAAGCCTTGGACATCACGTGCGTCGGGGGACCAGCGCCATCTGATTGGCCGTTAACAGTTGTACAAGGCGGAGCAAAAAGCATCGTTTTTCCGTCCATTTTACGCTTGAAAAACTCGACCCTTTTCTGGACACTTTCTAGACGCTGACCAATTAATCAATTTTAATGAATTTTTAGTCGTTTTTCCGTCCAATGACCATATACGGAAAAAAACGACGTTTTCGTGTTTGCAGTGTGGAGAGACTACCACTAAACGCATATCTGATAAATAGGACTAAATTACTAATATTCCTTTCCTGAACACTCCTACTTACAGGCATTCTAATCATAATATCATACTATGTATAGTTCAAAAGTTGAGAAATATTGCATTTCAAATAATGGCTGATACAGTGTATTCTTCCTCATTTTGAATTCATTATAATTTATGCAATAAAAGCTAAACATATATATATATTGAAAGATGAGTGGTAAGAATTTATGCCAATATTTCAAATTAGAATGAAAGCACAGCAGGAAAGCACAGCACTTTGATACACGTATCTTGCTAACCGAACAGTTTTTAAATAAGAGCAACATGTACATCAAGAGTAAAGTTTCCGTGTGTGTCTCACACTCTCGGAAAGTGAGCACAGTCTGCATATCTGGGACTCATATAACTGGTAATAAATGTCATAAGACGATTTATACGGGTAAACACGAGTTATGTCGTCACGCGTCGTGCACGGACTGTGGTTTGGTCGGTTTTAAATTCGGGGCCTGGGTGGGGCAAACGGCATTTGCAGGTCTGACGTATCAATGACCAAAATGATGTCTGATGCAATTCCCTATTTTAAACTGTACCGTGTGTGCCCGTGCCTTTTCGGGTGAGCAATTGTCTTGCATACGCATGTGTTTGTGTTTTGGGCCACGGCGGCGTCATCCTTGTTTGATGGTGAATCATGACACATGCTCCCGTTGTTGTCGATAATGGCAGGACTTTTGTCGCTTTTGTTGAGATAAACAGCCCCGAGTGGTTTATTCTCTCCGCAGTGGTTTATTGTACGATAAATAACGACAACGAGTTTCTTTTTAAAATTATATGATATATCAACATTACGTACAGGAAAAGATCGCTCTCACTTCGTATGCGATCTTTCAAGCATTGCATTTATTTACGTTGCTCAGCTACATTTATAGGGAAACAACTCACAAGGGACTTCCCTCTCAAAGATAACGTTGTCACATTTACCACGTCATCAAGTTGCGAGCGCATGTTCGAATCTCCAGAAATGACGTCATGATAGAACAATGTTTTATCGTGAAATAAACAACGCTTCGTTGTTCTTATATCATCATACATGTGTCAATTTCTCATTGCTTTATCATGACGTATCCGTGTCCAACCAATCGTATAGCTATAGCAGACACAAATATCGTTGACTTCGACGTACATCTAGTACATGCTTAATTTTAAGCATAGGGACTATACATTATCAAGTCTCTGTAACAACTGCAAAATAATACAAACTGTAATAAATGTGTGCATGTTGTAATACTCTTAAGTTAATGAATGCGGCATTAAACAACACCAACATAATATCCATAAGAATTAAGAATTATGTTTCTAATAGCAATGTTAAAATAATCTGCATAATCCCCATACCTCTCTCTATGTTTAATATGAAAAAATAATAACTTTTGTTTATAACAATCTGAAGGAATAAAAATGACAATGGGTCAACAACAACTACTGCTGATGCAATGCTGCTTCCAATTGGCGTAAATCTTGTACAGGAGGATCTCGTGCCTGTATACGCCGCGCAGGAATATCCCAAACATGTTCAAGGGGGTTCAAATCTGGGCTCATTGCTGGCCAGGGTAGAGTCGTTATTGCATTGGCCCTCATGTAATCCACGACTGAGGCCTGGCATTGTCATCCATGTATTGAGGTCGAGTAGCAAGAGGGTGGTTGTCAAAATGAGGAACGACGACTGGCCTCAAAACGTCCCGGATGTACTGAGCCCCTGTTAAATTGCCCCTTATGGTGACCAAATCCAACCTGCAGTCATGAGAGATACATCCCCAAACCATTACCGAGCCCCCGCCGTGTGCAACAGTCGGTTTAATGTTCCTGGGGGTGTAGGCCGTGTTCCGGTGCCTCCAAACTCTCGTTCTTCCATCAGCGACATGGAGCAGAAAGCGACTTTCGTCTGACCAGTGGATCCGTCTCCAAGTTCTCAGATTCCAGTTCTGTCGCGCAATACACCATGATAAACGAGCAGCTTTGTGGTGATCTCTCAACAAGGGATGCTCTATGACTCGTCTAGCCCTCAGTCCTGCTACTTTCAGCCGGTTCCTGACGGTTCTGGTGCTGAAACGACGATTGGGCAAACAAAGCTGTTTCAGACGAGTACTTGTTAAAAAGGGTTCTCGGCGTATGAGACGAAGAAGGTCCCATCTTCGCGATGTGTCGTTACAGGAGGTCCTCTGGATCTGGGACGGTCTTGTACATCACCGGTCTGAGCATGTTTTTCGACTAAACGGCTTACGACAGTGCGATCATACCCCAAATTCCGACCAATTGCATTACAAGACATTCCTGCGTTATGCATGCCAATTATTTGCCATCTTGTGGCGTTTGATAATCGCCTTCGTGCCATGGTCACACCATGTCACGCAATACCTGTTTAAAACCGAGCTTAAGAAAGCAGTTTTAACGTTTGGATATACTGCTTTTAGAGATACTCGAGGGAAGCATGCTGCACGGGCATACCATGCATGTCACGTGAGCTTTCGTCACGCATGACTGATTACATCATCTCCAGAAAACATAATTCTTCCCGTACTTACCAAACAATAATGAAATATATTAGGGTGTGCTTAACTTTTTTCTTTGTGTATATATAACATCCTTTCGATTTCTGTTAACTCTGTTATCTTGACCACAGATATTCGCCTGGTGGCTACACGGAGACGTCTCGTTGAGTGGAGAAAATGAAAGTCTCACCTATTGGATTCCTGTTTGGGGTTGGCTGTGGAGTGTTTATTCTTTTTATCTATGACACGCTGGTGAGTAGCTGTACTATCTATTTCATAACTGGTTTAAAAAGAACAGGGCTTCACAGTCTTATTGAAAGCGGTTGTGTGGGTGGTGCATGTAAAATACAAAAATGTTGGCACATAATTTGGGAAACAACATGCCTGTATCCCCCAAACATTAGTCAAACAATGCTATTTTTGTTTACAGAATTTGAGCAAATGATTTAGATATTATTTCCCATACAAATGTACTTAAACATGGTTAGTCTGCTTCACAAACAAGAGATTCGAACCCACGACCATGGATTTCTGACAGGCCTAAGGTATGGAACTCTGTACAGCAAACTGCGGCCCCATCGACGACTGAGCCACCCGTGTCCCCCTTATATTAATAAGAGTGAAAACATAACTATGAATTCACGCGTACGACGCAACAGCAGTTTCACTGCCATCACGGGGGCGCGGTTAGCCCAGCCGTCTCAGGCGCCGCGATTCGCTGTGCAGAGTTGCGTCCCTTGGGCACGCCAGAAACCTATGATTGTGGGTTCGAATCCCGGTACGCCGCAGTTATGTTTCTAGGTTTGTCAGCACCATACCCGTGCTCGTGGGTTTCACCGAGGTGGTAAACGTCTTAGACCTGCATCACTTCGGGTTTTCCTCCCACATTAAGCTGACACGCCGTGATATAACTGGAATACTGTTAAGCGGCATTAAACCCAACTCACTCACTGCCTTCACTGGAGGCTATAGTTATTGGAGTCTCCATGTAGGTTAAACTCTGCAGGCAAGGTGATATCTGTTCATGAATATTTTCTTTGCAAGTTGCGGTGACACGACATTTTTTTGGTCGTCTTTCTATGTAGCTTTGAAGCTGCCTTTCCAGACAGGCAAACCTTGTGTCATTGAGTTCGTTTTCAGCTGTCGGAACAGAACCAAGGACTAAGAAATGGTGGGTCTTATCATTATATTTATAGCTGTCAACACATATGGGACTCTTCAGTTTTGCTTTGTGGTGTACTCACTTAGCCCGCAGCCTGGGGAGATGAACCTGTACGGTCCAGTGACTTGTCAGCTATAGCCTGTTCTGATTAAATAACGGGTATATACACTGTATATATATGGAGGTGCCATTTGAGAATTTATTGCAAAATGGCAAATGCACTGGTAAACGTTAAGTTCATCCCTAATTCGCGAGGTGGACAGAGTTTAGTGTATGGTGGACATAAGTTCAGAGTCAAGACAAGAAGACGAGACACAGTGCACTGGAGGTGTTGTAAGGCTGGATGTCCTGCAGCCATCAACACTGCCAACAATCTCATCACCGCCTACAGGAACATCCATAACCATCTTCCCGATGAAGCCAAGTTGAAAGTCGACGTCTTCCTTGCCTCCATGATAGATACAGTTCTAGTTGAGTGAGTGAGTATGGTTTTACGCCGCTTTTAGCAATATTCCAGCAATATCACGGCGGGGGACACCAGAAATGGGCTTCACACATTGTACCCATGTCGGGAATCGAACCCGGGTCTTCGGCATGGCGAGCGAACGCTTTAACCACTGGACTACCCGACCGCCCCAGTTCTAGTTGACCCTAGGCCAGTGCCTAGTATCTATCAAGAAGAGCTGAACAGTAAGTGTAACAAATGGCATTTTCAGTAATTTTCAGTTTCGACTGTAACCATCTGGTAATATCTCTGTATTTTGTTTGTGTTGTAGCTTCCATTAAATTTTTTAATTAATAATGAATAAAAACCTATTCTACTACATACATTTTTTGTGTTATATCTACCTAGACAGGCTGTAGTCTGGCTATAGTCAGTCAGTGAAAGTGAAACAGTCTATAGTGTTAACCCCCATTGTTGTAGGGATTATCACGGGCTACTGACTTTTAAACTATATAATAGCTGCTGGCAAAGTGAGAACACCCCGTATGTGTGTTTGTGCGTGCGTGCGTGCGTGCGTGCGTGCGTGCGTGTGTGTTTATTCGTTTCAACAAATCAGCAGTGCGTAGCTTCATCCAAAACAAGGATAAAAAGACCATGATTACAACTCGCCACAGTGACGGTTCTGTAACTTCCTTGTGATTTTATTTTACATGTGCGTCCTCTATAAACACAAGAGTACCATCGCCCGCGCTGTGTACATATTACACTACTGATCAAAAGAAATTTTACATCGACTTGGACTTCTTATAAAATGAAAACGAAAAAGTATACACATATTTTGTTTACATGTATTTTGAAGTTATAGTGCAATAGGCCAAAACAAAATGAAATATAACACACCTGGTGTCATAACTGTTACTTTTCACACAAAAACACAAAACACAGTTTGAACACTGCCATATCACCTCTGCATCAATATCGTGTATGCTTGCCTTAAAAGGCGACTATGCTTGTCGTAAGAGGTGACTAACAGGATCGGGTGGTAAGGCTCGCAGACTTGGTTGATGTATGTCATCGACCCCAATTACGTGAATCGATGCTCATGATATTAATCACTAGATTGTCTGGTCCAGACTCGATTATTTACAGAGCGCCGTCATATAGCTGGAATATTGCTGAGTGCGGCGTTAAACATCAAACCAACCAACCAACAATATCGTGTGTGACCTCCTTAATACTCGTTGTAGGCTTAACCCTCGGTGGTGTCCCAGGTGGTTATATGGGGTTATTCCTAGGGTTTTGCTTACTGCCATGTTTATCATTTACCACAATTTAAAAAGCGAGATGCGAGATGGTTGTCATCAGGGGAGCTCCATGTGGCGCTGTGTTTATTTTTAGGCTCTGTGTACATCCAAATTTATTATTAATATACATGACGCGACGCCGCTTCGCTGTAAGGAGCTTAAATGACGGATATATTTGTGTCTTCAGTTGTCACCGCTGGACACTGAAATGTTTCAAAACGTCATTGATCAGTAAATTTAAAATATTTTACATGTACAGTAAACTACGGTTAAAACGAACTCAAAGGGACCATACATTTTAGTTCGTTATAACCATAGTTTGTTATAAGCAAATATATAGCATATATTCAGCATATATACAACAGATGGCCGGGACAAAAAAAAACAGTTCGTTATATCCGCCAGTTCGTTATAAGCGTGTTCGTTATAAGCGTAGTTTACTGTAATTGGTATGACTGCGCATTGGGCGCCACTATAGCAGCGATAAACCGTAGTAGGATTGGAAACATAGACATTCGGATCTGAGCTTGGAGGCCTTGTCCACACGAGCAAAAAGCTTAACCTTACACAGACATGGCACCTGGGATGACTGAACTCCCCATAGGGCTTGTGGGTCAGATTAGGGCCCCAGCAAGCTGTGCTGATCGTAAAGGGCGACCAAATGGACCAGGTGGTCAGGTTTGGTGACATGGTTCATTGTGTGTCATCGTATCCCGACGTCGTTGATCGCTGCTCACAATGTCCATCACTGGATTCACTGGTCCAGACTCGTCTATGTACAGTCCGCCGTCCTTATGCTGGAATAGAGTGCGACGTTAACTAAAGAATGATGAATAGATAGTAATTTCCATCTCAGTTCTCTGGAGAGATATGCTACTACTACTACTACTACTACTACTACTACTACTACTACTACACTACTACTACTACTACTACTACTACTACTACTAATGATAATAAGGCTCTTTATATAGTGTAAAATCCACATCACTGAGGGACAAGATTGAGGAAAAACATGGCAAGTATGCAGACCTCGCTTTCGAAATGTCCCGCTTGCATCCCAAGTACCAAGTTGTCCGACTTCCAATTGTTCTCGGTGCCTTAGGTTTAGTACCTCCTAATCTTTAGACAGACATGGGGAGAGTACCCTGGTTTGCTACCAGGAATACAGCCCTTCTGACATTCTGGGAAATGCAGAAGGCTGCAGTGTTGGGGAGTCTTCACATTCTCCGAAAAGTTCTGGATGGGTTTGACAAGGCATCGCTTCCTGGGAGAAGTCCCATTCGCTGTCTGGGCTGCGTGTGGAGGGGGCAAGGGCCCTGAGCTGATGATGAGCCTAACAAGCCTGACTTTGCCAGGATCACCCAAACCATCTGCTGCATTTTATATTTTTATCTGTACAGACTACTACTACTACTACTACTACTACTACTACTACTACTACTATTGGGCGGTCGGGTAGCCTAGTGGTTAAAGCGTTCGCTCGTCACGCCGAAGACCCGGGTTCGATTCCCGACATGGGTACAATGTGTGAAGCCCATTTGTGGTGTCCCCCGCCGTGATATTGCTGGAATATTGCTAAAAGCGGCGTAAAACCATACTCACTCACTCGCTCACTTCTACTATTACTATTAAGGCTATTTATAAAGCGCAAAATCCACATCACTGAGGGACATGCTCAATGCGCTAATTCAGCATATGTACACACATACAACAGAGAGGGGACAGTAACATAAAATATACGCGTTCAGCTGTACCCTTCAAAAAGATATGTTTTAAGTCAAGACTGAAGCACAGTGATATTAGTTGCACTTTTGAGGCTGAAAGGAAGGGAGTTCCATAGAGAGGTATCAGCATAAGAGAAGGATCAAGCACCGAAGGACTTTAGTCTGTATTTTGGTACAGACAGGAGGTTGATCATGTGATCGGAGATTTCTGGTAGATTTGTATTTGAGAAATATTTCTTGAAGATAGGCAGGACTGTTATGAAGAGACTGGTAGTTAAGAGAGAGAATTTTAAAAATCAATCCTCTTACAGATTCACAGCCAATGTAATGACTTCAAGATGGGGGAGATATGTGACCGAAGCTTTGTGCTTGTTTCTATTCGGGCAGCTCTATTATGTATCTTCTGCAGTCGGTTCAGCTGATCCCCTGATATTCCCCCAAGTAGGCTATTGCAATAGTCCAAACGAGACAGGATGAGTGATCCTGTCCCCTAGGGAGGCTGTAGCATCAGTAGTGAGAAGATGACGGATTGATCCAAAAATTCTCAAATGAAAATGACATGTCTTACAGAGAAAAGTTACGTGTGTTTCCATAGTTGGGGAGGAGTCAATACAAACACCAAGGTTTTTGACAAGTGAGGAAAAAGGAATCAAGGATTGTCAAATTGTGAGGTGTGTTTGCTGAGATTTATGTTGGCTCGAGTGCGGAGCAATTAGGATTGCTTCTGTTTTATCATCATTCAGCTTAAGCATGTGGGAAGTCATCCAGGATTTGACACTGTTTAGACAGATTTCCATCTTCGTCAAAGATGAAATCTGATTGTCGAGAAGGGGACTGAAACTATCAACCAATTGTGAATCCTCACCATAAAAGTGATGAGCCACATGCTCTGCTGACTTCAAATGCCCGAGTAAATGTCTAAGGTGAACAAGATCGGTCCCAGCACAGATCCTTGAGGCACACCACATGTGAGACTTTCGCTGTTCCAATCTTGTTTATATTCTTGTTTATCTGGACTGACTGTGTACTGTCTGTCAAGTACAGTGAACACCACTCCAGGACAGAGCTGCTCCAACCATAGTCATTTTCCAAACGACATAATAACCTTGCATGGTCTATGGTATCAAGAAGGACTAAATGAAGCGCAACGTGGAGACATATCTGTTACTGGTAATTGATACACCGCATGGCGCGATATATGTTACCAATGATTGATGTGCCACAATGGCGGTCATAATTCATTCCGTGCCGTCATGCACATGTGTGTATTCTGTCTCGTAGAACACAGGAATCACTTCAAAGTATTCTAAATGAAGTGCAGAAAAGAATTTGCTCAAACACTGCTTTTTATCTTTTTTTTATATTCACAACGTCAGTCTCAATATCATGTCATTTGGGTCATTGTCTGCCTCCAGCCGGTCGTTTTACGTGCTTCTGATTGGTTGAGTTTAATTAGGGGTGTCTCCCGAAGGTATGTTTGACGCTTTTATTGACAGTGTTGAAAATGGTGTTTACATTGTCACATACATGTATTCATTCGGCAATTGGGATTTTTAGCACATTGTGATATTTGTTTCCGATGTTCGTCTTTTCATGTAAAAATGTCACTGAATTTATTTACAAGGGTTGACTGTTATTTTTGTTCCGTTCATCGAGCTATGTAAAACAACGACAACAGCAAAAACAATTATGACTACACAAACTATGTTTACATCTAACCATAAATGCAAGAACTTGACTATTTTAAAGAAAACAATTGAATTTGGATTAATGTAGCAGTTTAGTGTATGTCTTTTCAACAAACGCATGTTACGGGGTTGAGGTCTGTATTGAGATGCCTTTTGTGTAAGATCAAAGATCTAAGAAATCAGACACCCTGAAACATATAATTATATCATAAATAATAGGTAAAACATTATCATCAATGCTAGATACATAGCATAGGCTTATAACAAGTAAGTATTACATATATCAGTCATCCATTAAAACACTAGATAGACTGTACACTGAATGATTATACTAAAACATATACAGTAATATACATGCTACATAATACTGACATCTAAGGGAGATAACTCCTTGACTTTCATTTGGCTGTATAATATATAAACATTATAAATGCACAACACTTACACATTCTGTATAAACATATACAATACTTTAAGACAGAAATTAATGATAATATAATATTACATTAAATGTGGTCATAAAATTTAGATTACACCTTAAGTCTTAGACAAATATAAACAATGACATGCACATCCTGTAGGTGATAGAAGGGTGTGGATCCCCATTGTCACACTTATGGCAACACCATAGTCATTGATCTGAAAAATAATACATAGACTAAAACACTATTTAACACTATTTAATATATTGAACAAGATAATACACACATTTTATTTACAGTGATTCGCATGTATCACACCTGACTCTGTACATAACAAAGCTTTATTAAACATTCTAGAAGTAGAACACTTTCACACATATTTCATTCAAGTTTAATCTTGGGGATAAATTATGGTTGTTTAGCTTACCTCATGCGAATTAAATGATTATACATAACAAACATTTATATTAGATTACATACATTTAGTTTACTTAATATAACACTTTAAATATTCTGTACTGTTTCAATACAACACAAGATTGAGATTATAGCCATTTAACTCAACTGATTTAAGATTATATCTTTATCCTTTGCTGGTCCGAGCAGTTCTGTCAGTTCATGTGCTGAGAGAGTATGCAGTGTAATCAAAGCATGCAGTTTTACAACAGGTGTTAGGGGGGCACGTGTTGCCCAGTCGTCTAAAACGCATAAATCGGGAAACAATATGCATGTATCACCCAAACATTAGTAAAAACAATGCTATTTTTGTTAACAGAACAGAATGTGAGCAAATGATTTGGATATTATTGATTTTTGACAGGCCTAAGGTGCGGAACTCTGTACAGCAAATTGCGGCCCCATCGACGACTAAGCCACCCGTGCCCCCCTTATATTAATAACATAAAAACATAACTATGAATTCACGCGTACGACGCAAAAGCAGTTTCACTGCCTTCACGGGGGCACGGGCGGTCCAGTCGTCTAAGGCGCCGCGATTCGCTGTGCAGAGATGCGTCCCTTGGGCACGCCAGAAACCCATGATTGTGGATTCGAATCCTGGTTCGCCCCGATTATGTTTCTAGGTTTGTCAGCACCATACCCGTGCTCGTGGGTTTCACCGAGGTGGTAAACGTCTTAGACCTGCATCACTTCGGGTTTTCCTCCCACATTAAGCTGACACACCGTGATATAACTGGAATACTGTTTAAATCGGCGTTAAACCCAAGCCCAATTGTACCAGACCATTTAATGACAGGTTCCCTTGCATTATAGCTTAGATTAGGCGCTTGTGTGACATTAGAACAGAGCTATTATTACATTTAATGGCGATGGTTTTCTTCTTAAAAATAGCATGAAATTAAAAGTTCGAATCACTTCCTTTTTCAGCATCAAGTCGCTGAACAAAATGATAGTACCACTAACCATCTCAAGGCGACCTTCCCACAAAGACAGGTAATTGTTAACAGACTCTATTCATGAATCTTGTTATATACCCGTAATTCAATGTTGAGAATATTGTACGCTCAAGGACTGTAAATGAGACAAAAGTAACCTTAGTAACACTTCCCCTGCATGCGATATAGTGTTTACTCCACATCGTGGTAAAAACATCAGTTATAGCTTAGATTACTCGCTTTACTATTTTAATGTGTGAAATTAGAACTGAGATATTATTACATTTAATGACAAGTTCCCCTGCATGTGATATAGTGTTTACTCCACATCGTGGTAAAAACATCAGTTATAGCTTAGATTAGGCGTTTTACTATTTTAATGTATGAAATTAGAACTGAGCTATTATTACATTGAATTACAAGTTCCCTTGTATGCAATATATACTCCACATCGTGGTAAAAAAACATCAGTTATAGCTTAGATTCGGCGTTTTACTATATTAATGTATGAAATTAGAACTGAGATATTATTACATTGAATTACAAGTTCCCTTGTATGCAATATGTACTCCACATCGTGTTAAAAACATCAGTTATAGCTTAGATTAGGCGTTTTACTATTTTAATGTATGAAATTAGAACTGAGATATTATTACATTGAATTACAAGTTCCCTTGTATGCAATATGTACTCCACATCGTGTTAAAAACATCAGTTATAGCTTTGATTAGGCGTTTTACTATTTTAATGTGTGAAATTAGAACTGAATCATTATTACATTGAATTACAAGTTCCCTTGTATGCAATATATACTCCACATCGTGGTAAAAACATCAGTTATAGCTTTGATTAGGCGTTTTACTATTTTAATGTGTGACATTAGAACTGAATCATTATTACATTGAATTACAAGTTCCCTTCTATGCAATATAGTATATACTCCACATCGTTGTAAAAACATCAGTTATAGCTTAGATTAGACGTTTTACTATTTTAATGTATGACATTAGAACTGAGCTGTTATTCCATTTAATGGTTATCTTCTTAAAATTAGCATGAATTTAAAAGTTGGAATCACTTCTATTTTCAGCATCGAGTCACTGAACAGAATGATAGTACCACTAACCATCTCAAGGTGACCTTCCCACAAAGACAGTTAATTGATAACAGATTATATTCATAAATCTTGTTATATACCCGTAATTCAATGTTGAGGATATGGTACGCTCAAGGACTGTAAATGAGACAAAAGTAACCTTAGTAACACTTGCTTTCAAAGTATAAACGATGAAATCGAATAAATCACCTGTAAGTCCTGAGCAGTGGTATAGTTTGAAAAACAATTATTTGTTCAAAGAATGTTGAAATATATTAAATGGCCTCAGGTTTTAAACACAAAACACTTTTTGACTTGACATGAAAATGTAAAAGAATGTTATATTTGGGATAACACTTTCTGAGTAAAGTACAGCTTCTCGTACTTTTTTGGTTGAGTCCCGTCCGGGCACTGTGTGTTCATTGACATGATAAATTGTGCTGTGATTGCCATAAATAAATTGTGTAATTTCTGGTTTCATAGAGAACATAATGAATGTCTGAAAACAGTGACATAAAATAGAAGATTCTATCTTTAACAAAAGTCCAGACTCTTCAACATCTTCAAGCACTGTAATCGTAAAGTGTTTACTTCAGCACCGAAAATCAAATTGGATGTTGCATGCAGAAAGAAACATGGATGGACCACTCAAGGATCTTCGCCAGCAAGGACAGGTATAGCACCACCTTTCATTCTCTCTCATGAGGGGGCACGGGTGGCCCAGTAATCTAAGGCGTTCAAAATTGCTGTGCAGAGTTGCATCCCTTAGAAGTGCCGAAAACCTGTGATCTGGGGTTCTGATCCTGCGTAGTCCTGGTGATGTTTTGGTTTGTCGGCACTATGGCCATGTTCATGAGTTCCATGAAGTAAACGCTTCGGGCGGTGCGGAATTGCGTCCGTGAGTCGTCCCAGAAAACTATGATCCTGGGTTCGAATCCTTGTTTGCTTCTTGGTTTCACTAACGCGAACACCCCGTGACATAACTGAAATACAGTTCAAAGCTGCATAAAACCAAAATCACCCACTTACTTGAAGGTCATATAACCTGGTCTAAGGTAACTTGGAACACCATTCAGGGGCACGGGTGGCCCAGTCGTCTAAGGTGCCGAGATTTGCTGTGCAGAGTTGCGTCCCATGGGCACGCCAAAAACCTATGGTTGTGGGTTCGAATCCCGGTTAGCCACGATTATGGTTTTAGGTTTGTCAGCACCATACCCGTGCTCGTGGGTTTCACCAAAGTGGTGAACGTCTGAGATCTGCATCACTTCGGGCTTTCCTCCCACATTAAGCTGACACGCCGCGATATAACTGGAATACTGTAAAAAGCGGCGTTGAACCCAACTCACTCACTAACTCACTGGAACATCATTCATGTGAGTTATGTGATGACGTGTGAGGTTACGGCAGGGAGAAATACCAAGGATCATAATCAGGGCACACCTAGGTTCCCAACCCACAAAAACTGGATCCTGACACAGATGAGGGACGCAACTTGCCACATAGAGATTCTTTGTCATACACTATTTGCTCACCAGACTCCTTTCTCTCTAATGACGCCATCTTCATGTAAACATCAGGTTGATTCATTACAAATTCAATGATCGATGAGTGATCGATTTGTCTATCAAGTCGTACAGGGTTGTATTATATACCGACAGGGACAACCTACTTAGAAGCCCAGAATACACGATTCAAAACATTTCAAAACAACAACAAAATCATTGGAAACCAATGTAATGGACAGTTGAACATATTCTTGAACATCGATCTACGGAATACGACGATATTCTCAACCATTATCACTTGGTATCATACATCATTACACATATTTCCATGATTTAGGTTATTCTACCGGAGAAAGGTGTAATAGAGAAAATGTCCGTCAGTGAAGCATCCAAAACGTACCACAGGTAGGTATATTAGGTGGATATATCAACAGAAATGGACATATTGTCATGAGTTAAAAATTGCCGTAAAAGGCGACGATGCTTGTCGTAAGATGCGACTAACGGGATCGGGTGGTCAAGCTCGCTGACGTGGTTGATGCATGTCATCGATCCCAATTTATAGCCTCTTTGAACAGTATTTCAGTGACATCACGGCGTACCAGCTTTACGTGGGAGGAAAGCCCAAAAGGATGTACGTCTTAGACATTTTACCGATTTCGTGAAACCCACGAGCACGGATAAAGCGCTGACAAACCTAGAAACATAATCAGGACGAAACGGGATTCGAACCCACGATAATACATGTAGATGGGACCCGTGAAGATTCCGGGGTAGAATAGGTCTTCAGCAACCCATGCTTGCCGTGAAAGGTGACTATGCTTGTCGTAAAAGGCGACTATCGGGATCGGGTGGTCAGGCTCGCTGACTTGGTTGATGCATGTCATCGATCCAAATTGCGTGGATCGAGTCTCATGATATTAATCACTGGATTGTCTGGTCCAGACCCGATTATTTACAGACCGCCGTCATATAGCTGCAATATTGCTGAGTGCGGCGTTTAACAACAAACCAACCCACCAACCAAAATATGTAGATGTTAATACCAGTGAGGGCTGTATACTACTGTACCAATAATACTATAGCCAAAATTCGCTGTGCAGAGTTGGGTCCCTTAGACGTGAAAGGATCTGTTGATCTTGGGTTCGAATCCCATATTCGTACTGATAATCCTCTATAGCTCCACAGTACCAGGCCAGTGTCTATGGCATAGTGTTACGGCAACTGTAATGCAACACCACAATAACTTACAGAGGAGTGTCCTTCAACCTGCAAACAGTGGTCTAACATAAATCATTGGTGGAAATCATCTCGTTTATTTATTATTACATTGAAACTTACCGTGTAGTTGCAGAAGCTTACTTTGAGGTACAAGCGACGACCCTGGAACCATTTGATCCCAAAGCACAATGATTTTATAAGGGCCTCAACAAATATCCTGATTATATCGCTCATAGGTGCAATTTGTGTTAATCAGGCTCAATAAAAGCCAAGGTGGCGAAATATTTTGTGCATTAATAAATACAATAGTTCTTTGCCCAACACTATTTCAGTTATATATTGTCGGCCTGTAAATAATCTGAACCAGACAATCAAGGGCTCAAAACTGCAAGCAGCGATCCACGCTGTCTGGTTCCGATTGCACGTAATCAACTTAGTAACAGACCGTGACTACCCGTTCCATTTGGTCGCATTCAGTCGATAATCGAGCATTATATGTGTAACTCTACTTGTTATCCAGTTACCTTGACAACATTGATATGTTGTGCAAGCGGAAGCTGCGCATGGGCAAACTCGGAGACGGAGGCTGGGAGATATGTGATGACGCAGAATACCGACCAGTAAAGCCTTGCATTGTGTACTCCTTTGGGTGAGTATTCGACTGACTGGAATAGATATTTGTCTTAAATACAGAAACAAACACTAATTACAGTGGTATAGCCCATGTATGAAGCCAACGACACACTTTGAATCGGAATGTAGGGCACTAACGTGTCCTTTTCAAATGTCAAAAGATGTTTAGTTACAGAACGCGGACCCTTTAAAGATAATCTCAGAAAATTCAGGTCTTTTACTCCGATACGATACCTCTCCAAAGGAGGTCGCGCAAGAAGAGAATGGCCAATCAACGTCCAGGCATCTAAATTATCGATTGATTGAAGGAATCATTCGGGCGCATATGTCATGTAATTTTATGTAATTGAATTATTGTGTTTATTGTATTTTGAAAGGCCAATGGCGCATGCATCCTTCATTTTGATTGAGGTATAGTATCGGAATATCCATTGCTTTAAACTGTTGTGCACAGCCGTGCATGTGTACCAACTCTGTATTGTACCAAACTGGCTACACGATAAGACACGCATATTTTAAAAACTTTTCACAGCGAAGTAATATTGTTGTTGTTTTACTACAGAATCAACAACGATTTTTCTTTTGACGATGAAACGGCCAAAAACTATGAGTGTGACGTCTTTTCCTTTGATCCGAGGTTTGTACAGGCGCTTGTTCAAGCCAACTTATACGTTATGCAATAGTTTGTTTGTTGTTTAACGCCACACTCCGCAATATACCTGCAATGTCGGCGGCTTTTCATTAATTGAGCCTTGAGAAATCAGTGATTGACATTGAGCATTGTCACCCGCCGTAGGGGTACGATGACATGCAATCAACCAAATGACCGAAGCTGACCAGTCGGTCCAGTGTTCAGACTAGCATATGCTTCTGAGGACCAGTTCTAACCGGAATCCCCAAGGAGTAAGAAAACATAACGGCGGACTGTCTGACAAGAACCGATGTTTGTCCGAATGCATTGGATAAAGGGAAGTAACTCGGTTCGTTATGTCGTTTTTCACTCAATACAGGTGTTTTGCTAACGCAGTGAAACTGCGGACATACATTTTGAACCTTTATGCATGAATGGCGGTAAGATAAATTCGTTTTCGACCGATCCCCCGAGGCGGGCGTTTAGTGCGACAACTCATAATTTACCCACTGAGGTCGGTAGGCAATTTTATTGTGAATAAAAGACTTTGTAATGTTTTGTTTGTTTGTTGTTTTACGCCGCACTCAGCAATATTCCAGCTATATGACGGCGGTCTGTAAATAATCGAATGTGGACCAGACAATCCAGTGATTGATATCATGAGCATCGATCCACGCAATTGGGATCGATGACATTCATCAACCATGTCAGCGAGCCTGACCACCCGATCCCGTTAGTCGCCTTTTACGACAAACATGGGTTGCTGAAGACGTATTCTACCCCGGAAGAATAAAATACTTGACGCGAGATAACATGTTTATCTTTTTTAATAGGTCACTTTGGACAATATTGCCATTGAATATGATGTCCACGTCTCTGATTACTGCTGTGATATATTGATGACACACGATTGATATTTCAGTATGACACAGAAAAGTTACCAGAGGTCACCACGGGTGCGGTTTTTAAGTTTAGGTATTGACGGAAAGGACTACAAGAAGGGTTCCTGGGATCTTCATACATTGACCAGTTTCAAGAAAATGTTGAACCACACAGGGGTCAGTGATACGGACATATTTTGACATTTTACATAATTAATTAGGAACATCAACAAACTTATTAATAACATTTCTTTCATTAATGTCTCTACTCTGGTCTATGTTCGGGCGAAATAAGGACGTTTAACTCAAATGACCACCAATGAAAGATGAAGATTCGTATCATTCAAGTGTTTGTTAATTTGTTTGTTATTTAACGCCGCCTCCAGCAATATTGCAGCTATATGACGACGGTCTGTAAATAATCGAGTTTGGGCCAGACAATCCACTGATGAGCATTTACAACCCGACCCTGTCAGTCGCTATATTCTTAACCGGAATCCCCAAGTTTTATGCATATCATAATCCGTTATTGGTGTTTTTTGTTTGTTTGTTTTTTATTGGTGGAAAGAAATTATCTTGAAGTAAACACCATTTAACCACGTATTTACATGAACGTGTTATCCCAAAGTACTTTCTGAAGAGCAGAGATAGGACAAAGACAATGGACTTTTTGTAGACTCTTTGCGTACTTTGCAATTCTCCGCCGGCCGTGTCATACAAAATGACGCTAAAAGATGGCACGTGTTGTTACCATTCGTGACCAACTAGTGTTATTCCGGGACAAGACGAATAGCATATATTTCCCCATATATTATATATATTTCAGATGCAATTTAAAGCACATCGGGACATGCGGAATTATACAGTATGATTGAACACATTTGGCTGTGTCTTGGGTATATTTTTAGATGCAAGACATATGTCAAATAAAAAAAATATTTCTGAGGAATACTTTGAGCTTGAAATCATACGCGCATTCTGATTGGTTTGTCGTATTTTCGCACATAACATTCGTCGATAGGGGGACGTGTCTTCTTGCAGGTTACGGAAAGGGGCGAGTGTTCACGAATGGTGTTGTTACCCTTCATGGCGCTCGGCATTAAGGGCTAAGACATTGGCTGATCGGCTCGGAGTCGGTATAATGTGTCTGAGTGGGATATCCACGTAAAACTGTGACCTGGTATCTCAGTGGGTTAGCACAATAAAACAGGCATACGCCAGCCACACATACACGTACATGCATGTCGCTATAAGTGAACACGACATTAAACTCTATTTCACATAATTTCAAACCAAAAATGTTAGTAAATGCGTAAGGATAATTTGGTATACAGTAAGATCCTTCTTTTGTTTTCCAGAGATTCATTGATGTTCTTAAGATGGACGTTGAAATGTCAGAATGGCCAGCTCTGCCCAACATGATCTCATCAGGCGAACTGTCTAAAGTCCGACAGCTTCTTGTGGAGTACCACGGAATTACTGACCTTAAGAAAGACTGCCGTTATAAACTGAACATTTTGAAAGATATCCATGATAAAGGATTTAGGAAGTTTGATGTCCACAAAAATCATTTTTGTGGATTTAACCATGCGTTATTTCCTGTCACAAGGTCAGGCTGCCATGAGATCCATTATGTGAATATCAACATACAGTCAATGCCATATTTGATAATTTTCAGACCAACATTTCAAAGTCTGCCGCCACTGCAAAATTTCCGGATCGCCGTCATATCGCTGAGTGCAGCGTGAACAACCAACAAACAAACAAATCAAAATTTAAACTCTCTCGTTTTTTTGTTCCATGTATTGCTCTAAGCCGATACCTTCAGATCAGTATAACAGGACATCCTTAATCTACATGTATGTCTGTCGCTGTATACCTACATTCACTATGCGTTCATACTACGTCAAACTTATTAAAATCAGACCTCAGTTCTCGCCACCGCTAAACAGACATCTCAGGACATCCCATTACGGGTCACGTCAGAACGACCTTCATCCGAACAATCAGTGCTTCGCTTACCAGATTATGAAAGTGACAGTCGGAATGTGATTTCTGATCATGCAGCCTCGAAAACTTCAACTCCGACCGATAGCTCCGGGGTTAACGACTGTATCCATACAATCTAGACCATCTATTAGCCATTCCAGAATGTTCTTTCGTTCAGGTTTCAACTTTGAAATCGAGAATTTGTCAAAATATGTTTCGAAGCGTAGTCGTCAATTTGAAATTAGTGCCGTAAAGCACGAGAAAGCTGCCTTCTGATTGGTCATTCAATTGGTCGGTCAAAGTTCGCGCAAGCTAGGCCTGACGTGACCCGTAATGGGATGTCCTCAGATCTTTGTTTAGCGGTAGTGAGAACCAGGATCTGATTTGAATGAGATCAGTACAACGTCAATAAGCAAACAACGTAAGCCTATAATAAAGCATGGGACTTACGATCATGTTAGCACTAAGATCGTTTTGTGCAAGCGGACCCAGGTGTTCGCGAAAAGGTGAGCGTATTCAATCCCACCTGCCCTCAAGCAAGGTTATCAGTCTGTAGGTCATATAATCACAGATGTCAACATATGTGTTTATTCATAATACCGAGAGGCCATAGGCCTATAGTACGTGTTAGTGAGTGAGTGAGTGAGTTTGGTTTAACGCCGCTTTTAACAGTATTCCAGTTACATCGCGGCGTGTCAACTTAATGTGGGAGGAAAGCCCGAAGTGATGCAGGTCTCAGACGTTTTACCACGACGGGTGGCCCAGTCGTCTAAGGCGCCGCGATTCCCTGAGCAGAGTTGCGTCCTTGGCCACGCCAGAAACCTATGATTGTGGGTTCGAATCCCGGTTCGCCCCGATTATGTTTCTAGGTTTGTCAGCACCATACCCGTGCTCGTGGGTTTCACCGAAATGGTAAACGTTTGAGACCTGCATCACTTCGGGCTTTCCTCCCACATTAAGCTGACACGCCGTGATACAACTGGAATACTGTTAAAAGCGGCGTTAAACCCAACTCACTCACTCACTCACTCACTCACTCACTCACTCACTCTTCTCTTTATGTCACGCTTAACGTCCTCGGCAGTTTATCCTCCTTTGAAGAAAAACCTTGTATTAGGATTTTCAGCGCGTTATATGTGAAGTTCCCCTCGCTGGTTATACGTTAGATCACTAACAACCCCGAATCCCATCTCACTCAGTATACCTCTCATGCTCACCACCAGCATCTTGTCCGTTCCCCGTACTCATGGGTTTCACCGAAGTGGTAAACGTCTCAGACCTGTATCACTTCGGGCTTTCCTCACACATTAAGCTGACACGCCGCGATATAACTGGATTAATGTTAAAAGCGGCGTTAAACCCAACTCACTCACTCACTCACTCTTGTCAGTTCAATGAGTCATTTTCACAATGAGTGGGCTTGGTTCAACGTTCCTTATAGACAATATATGTGCAGGTTTAATATCTCTTGCCACTAGCTGGGGAAGTTGATTTTCCTTTTTTCTGGCTCAGTTTATAATATCTAACACCTTTCCCCTCCACGCATCATAGGACTCGCTATCTCTTTCGGGAGCATCATAAAGAATAAAAATGTTTCTTTTACTTTATCGTTCTTGACTTTCAACTCTTTTCTCCAAATTGTTAAAACATCGCCATAACCACCAATAGCATCTATTCTATCGGAAACAACATCGCCATAACCACCAATAGCATCTATTCTATCGGAAACAACATCGCCATAACCACCAATAACATCTATTCTATCGGAAACAACATCGCCATAACCACCAATAGCATCTATTCTATCGGAAACAACATCGCCATAACCACCAATAGCATCTATTCTATCGGAAACAACATCAATATCAGCCTTATGATTGCCTGTTCTTTTTTGTTGTCGTTTATATCGTCTCGAAATTCATGAACATTGTGACCGCCTCCGTGGTCTAGTGGTAGAGCGTCCGCCCGGAGAGCGGAAGGTCCGGGTTCGATCCCCGACCGCGTCATACCAAAAGACGTTAAAAGATGGTACTTGTTGTAACCCTGTCTGGCGCTCGCCATCAAGGGGCTAAAACAAGGACTGGTCGGCTCGGAGTCAGTATACTGTGTCTGGTGGGGTATTCATGTTAAACTGCGGCATGGTATGTCAGTGAGCTAGCACTATAAATCGGCATCAGTCCGGACTAGTACAAGCAGCCACACAAACACACACACGTACATGCACGTCGCTATATAAGTGCATTAATCTTGGACGCGACGTTAAACCCCATTTCACCTCACCTCACCATGAACATTGCTTGGCTTGTGCCCCCCCCCCCCCCTTCTTGCGGATCTGTCCCTTTATGCATATGAATCGAAATTTCTGATCGGATTGGCACGATCAAAGAAAGATAATTTGGCCAAGAGTGAGTGAGTGAGTTGGGTTTAACGCCGCTTTTAACAGTATTCCAGTTATATCACGGCGTGTCAGCTTATTGTGGGAGGAAAGCCCGAAGTGACGCAGGTCTAAGACGTTTACCACTTCGCTGAAACCCACGAGCACGGATATGGTGCTGACAAACCTAGAAACATAATTAGGGCGAACCGGGATTCGAACCCACAATCATAGGTTTCTGGCGTGCCCAAGGGACGCAACTCTGCACAGCGAATCGCGGCGCCTTAGACGACTGGGCCACCCGTGCCCCCCAATTTGGCCAAGAAGTTTAACTTAAAGGGGCATCTGCGGTAGGAGTTACCGCACTCTTGTGGGCGGAGCTTATGCGAGTGACCTGACAGGTCAATATGACGTCATGATAACACCCGTTTGACAACAAGTACGTAAGTTTTAATGGTAGTAAATATCGATCAAACGAGTCCAAGACTTCTCAATAAACGGGTAGGTCTTGGGTTTCAAAATCTACCTGCCATGTCGGCTGGGAGTCAGTATACTGTGTCTGAGTGGGGTATTCATGTTAAACTGCGGCATGGTATCTCAGTGTGCTAGCACTATAAATCGGCATCAGTCCGGACTAGTACAAGCAGACACACACACACACACGTACATGCACGTCGCTATATAAGTGCAATAATCTTGGACGCGACGTTAAACCCCATTTCACCTCACCTCACCATGAACATTGTTCTTGATTGTCTGGATTTCAGCTTTGACAGATTCAATACTTTCAGATAATCTAGCTTCCGATTCCATTATCTGTTCAATTATTGCAAACTTCAAGTTACCTCTTGTAGGTCCAGGAGTAAGTTCGATATTTCCGGAGAGATAGATAAGTGTCACAAAAGGTTGTCGCCTAAATTCGAGGGTATTGTTCAGATTTCGGTATGTAAACAATGTCGATTGTTTGTATAGATGTTCACAAATTTCACCATCTGAGAACAAAGAGGATGGTGGTATGAGGGTCGGTAATGCCGATTGCATCGCTGATGCCGTAGAAGATCCCAAATACCAGATTGTGAGAAGTGGTGCTGTACACACCATCAGCCGGTAGTCCATGTCGGTTCAGGTGACAAATTGCCTTGCCTTTGCGTGTGTTTTTTACGGGTGCCACCTGTGGGGCAGCATACCACTCACCTTTTCGCGAACATCTGGTATCATCACTTTTTGATTGTGAAGCATTAACACATGTTCATGTTATAGTTAGAATCGTATAATCGACTTTCTATAGAATATGGAAAGGGTTTTGTCGCTTTGATGTCGATCCTTAAAACAGGCTTTGCGTTCTTTGTAAGATGTATGTCAAGTGAATACTGAATTGTTTAATGGCATTGTAAATTTAAATATTTATTTTGGTGGAGTTTCAATTATATAGAATTATTCATGATATAATTCCGTTCAATTGTTATTTCACTCATTGAAGGTGCACACCATAGCAGGCAAAACACACCACACACACCCACACCATGTTTTTTTAATGTATAACAGATAATGAATTGACATCAGGCATCCATGAGTTTCTTGTCGACAACATGTCTACAAATTCACAAATCCACAAATAGGTTTATTGTGAGTTTCTATGTGCACATTATTACAGTAAAGTCACGTTTTGAAAGATGATGTGTCCTACAGTACTGAATGTTTACTTACTAGAATCTGTATCAAACTCAACGTTTACATGACTTGTACAAATACATACAGTTTAACCCCGTTGTCTCGGATATGTCGAATGTCCTGTTGTGTTGATTAGCAATTGATACTGATGTTCATGTGTGCATTTCTACAACATTTCCCTGGGAAGGTACGTAAGTCCAGTATCATTCAAGGTATCATTTCCTCTCTCTGTGATTTTAATCGTAGTATTTTTGTTGATTTTAACTCTTTGGCTAATCTGTCTGATAATCGCCAGTGCCCAGAGGGATGGTGTAAATCCTGCTGGGGTACCATGTAGGTAGCAGAAGTACCGTAAGTCCCCATTGTCCCTAGTATGGTGGCCTAACTTTGGTTGCTGGCGATCTACAGCCCGTTTTTATATTGTATCGTTTGAATTGTATCTGATTATTTTATTGCTCTAAAACTAGTTTTAAAATTATAATCTGTGATATATTGCTGGTTGTTGTACTGTCCTTCGATGACAGCTTTTAATATATAATATCAATGCCTAACTTGTTCAAGTCACGATAAGGCTGAAATACTGCCGATGTGACTTTAAATATTAACTCACTCACTCACTACAACATTTCCATGCAGTCCTAGAGTGGACCTAAACTGACCAGGGCCCCGTTCCACAAAGCGATCATAACTACAATCAATCTTAGAGACTTACGTCGATTCTAAAATTGTCTTAGCCAGAGTTTACAACCGTTCCACAAAGCGATCTTAGGGTGATTGTAACTTTACAAGCTCTTAAGTAGCCGATCTTAACAAAGATCGGAATCTTCAGCCATAAAGATAGGAATTTTCCCTTGGAGTGGCCTCCCTTGGTCATGTTTAGCAGACGACGCATTTCCTTGCACACCATAATAAAAGTCGCCATCTTTGTTGTTATGGTACAATATTTAAGATCGATTTTAGCAATCCTAAGTTGGTCCGGGGCAACTTAGCATTTTGATCTTAACTTACAACTCTCTTAGTTAAGATTGCTTTGTGGAACGGGCGGCTGATCGTAACAAAAATTTATGATCGCATACTTAGTAAGTTACAATCAACTTAGCCCTAAGATCGCTTTGTGGAACGGGGCCCTGGAAGTTTTGAAAACATGCAACATTGTACCTCGCGTCAGCAAAGTGGGTTTTTTGTGCAGTGCAATTTGGTCATCTTGTCAAAGTTGATCCTCCAATACAATGATGATTCTGACACAATTAAGACAGCAGATATTTTACAAGGTAGACACAATGTTATGGATAACAACAATTGTGTCTACCTTGTCATCCGTCAACTTCTAAGTAATTCCTAACAAACAAATTAGGAGATATTTTCCTTTCAATTATTAATCAGATGCTCCATGGTATTGCATACACAATTTTTGTTTGCCATACTATCCATACAATCACTGTTAAGGACTTTCTAGACTCAGATTTGCCTCAGTTACCGTCCTAATGAGGAATGTTTCGATAAATCATTTCTTAGTGCATTCTGCAATTACTTCAATCGTTACATAACAAAGCGATCTCTTTGTAGCAATCATATTGATCATGACTGACAGCAGTGGTATCTCCACTACGTCTCACGCCACATGCATTTAATGTTAATGTGACCCGTGTCTGCCTCCAAACATGTAGTTCTTTCTGACTCCTTTTGTGTACCGTAGCTGGGCAGGATAGGAAGACCATCCGTTTACTTGGCTTGTATTACATGAACGTCTTTGAAAATGCAGATGGATATTAGCTACTTCAGGACACTTTTCTTGATTGTTAGTATTTCAATAGCATCTAGTTTGGAAGAATCTCATTTTAAAAAGACCACCAGTGGAGTTCCAGCCGTTTTAGACAACTCCCAACATCTCCAGGTCCAGAAAGTGTTTGGACTAACGACATGTGCCAGTCTGTGTTTGCGCACGTCATGCCACGAGTTCCAGTATTCTGACACAAGCCGCACGTGCATCACACGACACTCAGAGCCAATATCTGACAGCGTCCTTAACCCAGGCAGCGGATTGTTTGACATCTTCAACGACAACGAGCAAGGTACTGTGTAGCATAATTTCGTTGAGAGAAAACATTGTATAGTTCACACCATAGATCTAAAACCTAAAACAAAGACACGTAAATGACCCTCGGTTTTTAAACTTATATAGACTGGGAGAAAAGCTGGCTATTTATCTTTCAGGACGTTTGATTGAATACATGTCCACAATGTGTTCTTTGGTCAATATAAACTGCATTCTTTTTAACTTTAGTAATTGAAGCCTACTGTGATACCGAGCCATAGATAACCAAAAGCATAACCACTACGTTTATTCAATTGATGGTGTACATGTACAATATCTTTACTTCAAAATACGTGATGTGTATTATTATTACTTTACAGAGCCTAAGACATGTTTAGAGATCAGGAAAAACAATCCAGGAGCTCAGAGTGGAGAGTACAAGATCATTCCCTCGGCTCCTCAGTTTAAGGGTGTGTCAGTGAAGGTCTACTGCTTGATGAATGACACACATCAGCTGGAGTATATAACACTGCCAAATAGGAACATTGGAAACTTTCCCAAAAGGTCGAACGGTGGTTGTAGAAATGAACAGCCTTATTTAGGAGCTGGTGGTGTTGGTAAAGACGGAGTAACAGAGTATCAGAGGATCAGAGTAAAGCCATCGGTAAGTGCCCTTTTACTTTCGGTTTCTGTGATATGTGATAGTGTGGGTACAGAGTGGGTGTCAGGTAAAGCGAAGGGGAGAACCTACTTTACACAATAGAAAAATAAGATATTATGCTTCTGTGACATTCCAAATAACTTTCTTGTATTTGTCACAAGTGTCTTTATTGTGCAAAAGAGGTTTGTAACTATTGCTATGTGTAAAACGGAGACATTTCAAATTTCCAAGAGCTTATGAAAAAGTCCTAACTAACACCAATGTGTCAGGCCAGTAGACGGGACGTATCCATTAAAGCTTCCATAAAGTTATTGGCAATGCTGCGGTGTGTAGTTTCCCATAATTACTTCGTTCTTGAATAATTATTAAGTGCGTTTAAGAACACATGAACTTTCACTCACCGTTCGAAAAGAAATCTTCAGTATTCATAATGTCAGCAAGGGACACGGGTGGCCCAAATGCTGTGCGTCCCACATGCGCTGCAGAAACCTATGGTGTTATGTTCGAATTCAGTTCCGCTTTGATTGTGTTTCTCGGTTTGTCAGCACCACACCCGTGCTCGTAGGGTTCATCGAGCTGATATACCCTTATATTAAATATTTCAGCAATCAAGAAACATGTAGGGACTTTTTTTGTTATATTTTAGTGTTTCTTACTTTAAGCTTTAACTCCCTATTTCTATGGAGTCTTGAAACCTGAAATGCAAACAGATGTATGTGCTCATGACTTATTTCAATATATATAATTCAAATATATTCAAATTTCAATATTGTTTTGATAAATTTATAAAATCCAATTCCGCTCTGAATGTGTGTCTTGTTTTGTGAGTTCCACAATCAGTTGTATGCATTTATAATTTATTTTAATATATTTATTTCTTATGGTAAATATTCCATTTTCGTAAGCCATGTTCAAATTTCAATTTTGTTGGGAGAAAATGATAATTACTTCCCTTCAGCTCTTAAAAACGTAAACAATTAAGCTTGTAGAATATATTGTGTATCTGGAGAAATGGTATATTTTCATGCTTTAGACTATGACTGTTGTGAGAGCTGACACCACCTTCACAAGCGGGAACAAGACGAAGCCACATACATTTGGTACAGCAGAAGATTGTTACTCATATTCTGGAAGCTGCAAACGAATAGGAACCTTTCACATCGACACGCTGGGCACAGGGATGAAGTTCTCCACTGATGTAAGTGATTCCTTTTCGCTAGCGTTTTAAATATGCATGATGTGTTAAAGTGAATCGTCGATAACATTCAAAGAACAAAGAACAACCATTGTTTTTTCGTATAATTTAATGATGACCATTACTATCTTGATAGTAGCAAAGTTCGTTCATACTTATTTTGTAAAACGCATCAAAGTAATACCATTCATATCCAGCTTAAGTGGACTAGAAAAGGATACGCAAGCAAACTGCACAGTGTAGCCCGGACACAGAATGGCGCCGTCATTGATCTGGTGTGTGGAGGCTGGTGAGGGGGATGCGATTCTGAAGGAGAGATGATCCTCTACCCAAAGAATCTGGATATTCAGCCTTAGGTCTACCCGTTGTGTGGAGGATTGTGTGGATTGTTTTAAGTTTAAATCCGCAAATTGAAACATTAAGTAAACCGAGATATCTGTAAGTAAAAAAACAATTTAGTGTGAAACCAATAACCAACAAACAAATGGTACACAATCAACAATTGTATTATCAAATGAACTAGGTTTACAAATCTATACAACTTACTGCACAGGAATTACAATGGCAGTATACAATAGAATGGTAGTACAATATTCAGTAGCACTATTTAATATGATAGCAGTGGTCAATATCGATTATAAAAATGAAAAGTGATCTTCACACGAGAGTTGGTCTTGATGTTATGTCAGATGAAATGTGAGATGAGACAGGGACGAGCCCTCTAAACGAAAATAGACTGACCAGCTGCCAGCACTTTCTACACAGTGCTAGGCCAGTCCAATGCCACTGAAACTGTAAACTGCAGAGTCGCCATTTGTCGCAAAGAAAAAAACAGCGGAGGCAGCTTGAGTGTAATTAGCGTTTCCTTTCCTCTCCAATTATGAACTATCAATAATGCAAGTTCGCCAACTATGTTTCACTCCGGACATTTTATATTTATTGCAATGGTCATTATGACTTATTTGAAATGTATTTGGGTGTACATTTTATATGTATAAAAGACTTAATGTTATGATTGTCATAAGAAGAATGTGCACACACCGATAACCATAAAGCAACGGCATAGCTGTCTTAAATGTTGCCTTCTATTTCCGCGTGTTCTATCACGGCTTATCAGATATGGCAATGGGAATGTTACAACATTTTCAACAATATTCCAGTTTCAAGCCACTTGCTGCAATAACATGCGAGACGTGTAGCACACAATGACACATAAACCAACCAATACATCCTAACTTGATCCGATCGGAGTCAACTCTACAAGAATGGGGAGGTTGGGGTCGAGCCTATTCTACCTTGGTATGCCTTTAAGTATTTGTAGGGAGAAAGTTCTGTTATACAATAGAAACATAGGGCATAGGTAGACTCACGTTGGAGTGAAAGTGCTTATCCACACAAAACACAAAAACAAATAAACAATAGAAACTGCTTTAGGTTCACATTGTTGTGATGTTGACATGCATGGTAATCTTACTATATGTTGATCGACGTATGTGTTTTAATGCTGTTCTGTGTACCTGTTTCCCCCAAATGCTGTGCATATTGACGTGTCTCTTATGGTGTCACTAATTTTGAACGGACAAGTTAGTTTTAGTTTGAATAATATTTAGAAACATTACACTAATGATGGACATACGAAGATATAGGTTGTTCAACTTCTATGCTGTAGATGATTTCAAAGAGTGTGTTTGTTCCAAGAAAAAAACAATTTCACCACTTTTACTAATCATTCACTATAGATGTTTATCATCATCACAAAATTCATTCCTTTATTGTTTTAATATATAATACATTATATAATTAAGATTTCAATTTTGTTCAACAACTTGTTTGCAATATCCACGAGAGTTGAGATATAATTGGCCAGTATGTCAAAAGTCACGGTTAACTAATAAGAATCTGTGATTCACATCGACACGCTGGGCACGGGGATGAAGTTCTCCACTGATGTAAGTGATTCCTTTTCGCTAGCGTTTTAAATATGCATGATGTGTTAAAGTGAATCGTCGATAACATTCAAAGAACAAAGAACAACCATTGTTTTTTCGTATAATTAAATGATGACCATTACTATCTTGATAGTAGCAAAGTTCGTTCATACTTATTTTGTAAAACGCATCAAAGTAATACCATTCATATCCAGCTTAAGTGGACTAGAAAAGGATACGCAAGCAAACTGCACAGTGTAGCCCGGCCACAGAATGGCGCCGTCATTGATCTGGTGTGTGGAGGCTGGTGTGGAGGATGCGATCCTGAAGGATGGATGATCCTCTACCCAAAGAATCTGGATATTCAGCCATAGGTCTACCCGTTGTGTGGAGGATTGTGTGGATTGTGTTAAGTTTAAATCCGCAAATTGAAACATTAAGTTAACCGAGATATCTGTAAGTAAAAAAACAATTTAGTGTGAAACCAATAACCAACCAACAAATGGTACACAATCAACAATTGTATTATCAAATGAACTAGGTTTACAAATCTATACAACTTACTGCACAGGAATTACAATGGCAGTATACAATAGAATGGTAGTACAATATTCAGTAGCACTATTTAATATGATAGCAGTGGTCAATATCGATTATAAAAATGAAAAGTGATCTTCACACGAGAGTTGGTCTTGATGTTATGTCAGATGAAATGTGAGATGAGACAGGGACGAGCCCTCTAAACGAAAATAGACTGACCAGCTGCCAGCACTTTCTACACAGTGCTAGGCCAGTCCAATGCCACTGAAACTGTAAACTGCAGAGTCGCCATTTGTTGCAAAGAAAAAAACAGCGGAGGCAGCTTGAGTGTAATGAGAGTTTCCTTTCCTCTCCAATTATGAACTATCAATAATGCAAGTTCGCCAACTATGTTTCACTCCGGACATTTTATATTTATTGCAATGGTCATTATGACTTATTTGAAATGTATTTGGGTGTACATTTTATATGTATAAAAGACTTAATGTTATGATTGTCATAAGAAGAATGTGCACACACCGATAACCATAAAGCAACGGCATAGCTGTCTTAAATGTTGCCTTCTATTTCCGCGTGTTCTATCACGGCTTATCAGATATGGCAATGGGAATGTTACAACATTTTCAACAATATTCCAGTTTCAAGCCACTTGCTGCAATAACATGCGAGACGTGTAGCACACAATGACACATAAACCAACCAATACATCCTAACTTGATCCGATCGGAGTCAACTCTACAAGAATGGGGAGGTTGGGGTCGAGCCTATTCTACCTTGGTATGCCTTTAAGTATTTGTAGGGAGAAAGTTCTGTTATACAATAGAAACATAGGGCATAGGTAGACTCACGTTGGAGTGAAAGTGCTTATCCACACAAAACACAAAAACAAATAAACAATAGAAACTGCTTTAGGTTCACATTGTTGTGATGTTGACATGCATGGTAATCTTACTATATGTTGATCGACGTATGTGTTTTAATGCTGTTCTGTGTACCTGTTTCCCCCAAATGCTGTGCATATTGACGTGTCTCTTATGGTGTCACTAATTTTGAACGGACAAGTTAGTTTTAGTTTGAATAATATTTAGAAACATTACACTAATGATGGACATACGAAGATATAGGTTGTTCAACTTCTATGCTGTAGATGATTTCAAAGAGTGTGTTTGTTCCAAGAAAAAAACAATTTCACCACTTTTACTAATCATTCACTATAGATGTTTATCATCATCACAAAATTCATTCCTTTATTGTTTTAATATATAATACATTATATAATTAAGATTTCAATTTTGTTCAACAACTTGTTTGCAATATCCACGAGAGTTGAGATATAATTGGCCAGTATGTCAAAAGTCACGGTTAACTAATAAGAATCTGTGATTCACATCGACACGCTGGGCACGGGGATGAAGTTCTCCACTGATGTAAGTGATTCCTTTTCGCTAGCGTTTTAAATATGCATGATGTGTTAAAGTGAATCGTCGATAACATTCAAAGAACAAAGAACAACCATTGTTTTTTCGTATAATTAAATGATGACCATTACTATCTTGATAGTAGCAAAGTTCGTTCATACTTATTTTGTAAAACGCATCAAAGTAATACCATTCATATCCAGCTTAAGTGGACTAGAAAAGGATACGCAAGCAAACTGCACAGTGTAGCCCGGCCACAGAATGGCGCCGTCATTGATCTGGTGTGTGGAGGCTGGTGTGGAGGATGCGATCCTGAAGGATGGATGATCCTCTACCCAAAGAATCTGGATATTCAGCCATAGGTCTACCCGTTGTGTGGAGGATTGTGTGGATTGTGTTAAGTTTAAATCCGCAAATTGAAACATTAAGTTAACCGAGATATCTGTAAGTAAAAAAACAATTTAGTGTGAAACCAATAACCAACCAACAAATGGTACACAATCAACAATTGTATTATCAAATGAACTAGGTTTACAAATCTATACAACTTACTGCACAGGAATTACAATGGCAGTATACAATAGAATGGTAGTACAATATTCAGTAGCACTATTTAATATGATAGCAGTGGTCAATATCGATTATAAAAATGAAAAGTGATCTTCACACGAGAGTTGGTCTTGATGTTATGTCAGATGAAATGTGAGATGAGACAGAGACGAGCCCGCTAAACGAAAATAGTCTGACCAGCTGCCAGCACTTTCTACACAGTGCTAGGCCAGTCCAATGCCACTGAAACTGTAAACTGCAGAGTCGCCATTTGTCGCAAAGAAAAAAACAGCGGAGGCAGCTTGAGTGTAATGAGAGTTTCCTTTCCTCTCCAATTATGAACTATCAATAATGCAAGTTCGCCAACTATGTTTCACTCCGGACATTTTATATTTATTGCAATGGTCATTATGACTTATTTGAAATGTATTTGGGTGTACATTTTATATGTATAAAAGACTTAATGTTATGATTGTCATAAGAAGAATGTGCACACACCGATAACCATAAAGCAACGGCATAGCTGTCTTAAATGTTGCCTTCTATTTCCGCGTGTTCTATCACGGCTTATCAGATATGGCAATGGGAATGTTACAACATTTTCAACAATATTCCAGTTTCAAGCCACTTGCTGCAATAACATGCGAGACGTGTAGCACACAATGACACATAAACCAACCAATACATCCTAACTTGATCCGATCGGAGTCAACTCTACAAGAATGGGGAGGTTGGGGTCGAGCCTATTCTACCTTGGTATGCCTTTAAGTATTTGTAGGGAGAAAGTTCTGTTATACAATAGAAACATAGGGCATAGGTAGACTCACGTTGGAGTGAAAGTGCTTATCCACACAAAACACAAAAACAAATAAACAATAGAAACTGCTTTAGGTTCACATTGTTGTGATGTTGACATGCATGGTAATCTTACTATATGTTGATCGACGTATGTGTTTTAATGCTGTTCCGTGTACCTGTTTCCCCCAAATGCTGTGCATATTGACGTGTCTCTTATGGTGTCACTAATTTTGAACGGACAAGTTAGTTTTAGTTTGAATAATATTTAGAAACATTACACTAATGATGGACATACGAAGATATAGGTTGTTCAACTTCTATGCTGTAGATGATTTCAAAGAGTGTGTTTGTTCCAAGAAAAAAACAATTTCACCACTTTTACTAATCATTCACTATAGATGTTTATCATTATCACAAAATTCATTCCTTTATTGTTTTAATATATAATACATTATATAATTAAGATTTCAATTTTGTTCAACAACTTGTTTGCAATATCCACGAGAGTTGAGATATAATTGGCCAGTATGTCAAAAGTCACGATTACCTAATAAGAGTCTGTGATTAGAATTTCTCTTTCACGATTAATGTTATCATCACCAAACTTTAGTAAATACTTGTTATATGGATGTGTTCCTATTTGATAACGCTTTGATCAAAACGAATCTCGTCTTTGAAAGGTGTTCTCAGAGTTAACAAATATTCTGATGATGTATGTAGATGGTTGTCACCATAATGGGGATTTAGTTCCATAAATGTCTGAAGAAACATGATTGAAATCTGTTACTAGTTCCATAGTTATGGATACTTTCTCCTCAATATTAAATTGATGACGATGTTGCCCCCCAAAAGAGTGTTTGTTCGAAGAAAAATAATTCATCAATTTTGTGACAGCTGACGGTAGGCGTTTGTCACCATCGCTAAAGTTAGCAATTAACTGTTTTTCTTATTATATTTAATAATGCTAACTTTTCAAAAACTTGTTTCAATAGCCGCGAGAATTGAAATAGTGTGTGAATTACATTAAATCAACATTTCACACAGGCCAATAGCTGAAAGGACAATGTTAGCTGTTCCCTGAAACCCTGCCTTAGATTTAACAAATATTTTGATGGTTTATGATGATACTTGTCAGCGTTATTGAGATTTAGTTTATTGTAAATTTTTGTTGATAATGTGAAAAAAAATATATTGTATAACAAAAAACATAGAAGTTACATAATGGTTGAAAGTGGAAAATTTGGGTAAATCTAACTGAAGTGTATGATATACTAGTATTAATTGTGGCAATAATTGCTGGAGAAACACGATTGGCATTATATTGTTACATATTTATTAATATTTTCATCCTCAATATTAAACAAACAATAGTTGAACACCAATGCTGACAGTAAATTAGTTCAATGGCTGACTTTGTTGAAATTATATATTGTTAACATATTTAATGGAATTACAATGCTGTAACATTTGTTTTTCTCTAATTTACCTGACGGCATATTTAGATGATGTGCCCAATTTGATCCATGATGTGTTCCTCTCTTGTCGCCATACATGGTAACATGCAAATATGACCTTTTCGCACCTGTTTTAAGTACTCATTCCGCTAGGTATGATATTAAAGATTTAAATTATTTGATATGTAAACATTGTATGTAATTAACGTTATATATTCACCAGTAATGTTTATGCACCTTATTCACCGTTTTCCCATTTCTCAAAACTGGGTTAATAAAAACTCTGATTCAAAAGCGTTGTTTGTGACGTCACTTTACATATGAAATCTGATTGTGATCTTCTTCTGTGACATCACAAGGTCTCTTGATCAGACGGATTTGACATAATACTACATCTCAGAAACCTCATGTTACACATACCTTTAGTCTGGAAGGTTTAAAGACAATCGGTGCATGAATAAAAAATCTGTCTTTTTAGCTATCACTATATTTCATCAACAACCAGACCTGTTCGTCACGGGTAGAACGAGCATTCATTGAAACAGCCATCTGCATAATGCTACCCCTGCGTCACAGGGCCATATGACACAGTTGAACCGATCAACTCAACTCGAAAGGGTGCACGGGAATCACGCACGTACGAATACGGTGATAGCGTTGGGCGTCTCAACGTGCGTGATTCCTGCTCGCTTGCTGTCAAACATTACAATTCCTCCTCAATAAAAAAACAATAAACTACTTCACAGTTCAATATCGATTCGACAGAAAGTCCCACCAAGACTGCCAACGTGATACGAACTGTGCAAGCAATGATCTCGGCAGTTGGATGGCAACAGCGAACACATAACAATTGCGACTGCACCAGAATGGTATGTTGACAGTACAACCAATTACCCTCTTTGTGTAAATATCGAACCAATAGGCGACCATTCAATAGCACAAGGGCAATCTGACGATTCTAGTGAAACGATTCTTATGTATTAGGGGTAATACAGACTATTTATATTACTACTACTACTTCTACGAGAAGGTTACCGGTTGCGCTGTCCATACGGGACGTTGTATATGTTTCGCGGACCATTACAAAGCATTGTTTGCTCAGCGTGTACATGCAGGAAAACAAATGAACTACAATCTACGAGACATGACGACTGCGGGTCGCACGGTTATGCAATATGATTCCATGTACAGTGTCTTCAAAAATAAAGCTGAAAATTGAAATACAATGTTGAGAATTCAAATACGAATGGAGATTCAGGCATGAAAACTGAAATGGAGTCATAAGAACCGAAGGTTTCATAGTTATGTGGTACAAATATATGGTTCACAGTGAAAAATGTTGTGATGACACATGTTGATACAGAATTTTACTATTGTTTGATGTTTTTACTCACGCACTTACTAGTTACCGTTACCTACTTGTGACAATTGTTATCATACACTTATGATTCAGTCGGTTACTCCTTCCGAGTGAAGACGCGAGATGAATGCAGTCGGAGAGTTATAAGGTTTCACAATGCACGGAACCCTTTCCTAAGAAACAGTTTTAATAGGTAATATTTGATTTCAAATTAACAGTTCCGTTTATGTGCATAGTTCATTGAATTTTAGAATCCAGGAGTCTTCTCCGACCAGTGTGGGTCTTGTTAATGCTGATGGCGCTTGTTAGCATCCAGAATCGAGTTCTTTTAGTGGAACCTGAACTACGACTTCCATAGGGTTTGATTGTTTGATTGTTTGCTTTTTAACGCCACACTCAGCAATATTCCAGCTATATGACGGCGGTGTGTCAATAATCGAGTCTGGACAAGACAATACAGTGATTGACATCATGAGCATCGATCTACACAATTGAGATGCGATGACATATGCATCAGCGAGCCTTACCACCCGATCCCGTTTGTCGCCTCTTATGACAAGCATAGTTACATGTTTACCTAATTACATGACATTACTATTGCAATTGCTTATCATCAACAATACTTGCTACATGTACGTTCATCAATGACGTTCCGTGTTTCAATGTGTGCTCCCAGTCCATCACATATCTAAATACGTTGTTTGTTCTTCCGTTGTAAACTGCAATTCATACACTGAATATTGTAAGTTAGTACTTCATGTATAAGCAGTCCATGGCTGCTACGACATATTTTTCGAACTGATTAACATCATGTTAATATTATTCTTGTGGACACAGGTGAACGTGTCATGAGTCCTCCCTGCATTCGAATCACATCGTAATTCTGCTCATATATATCCGAAAAAATGCTATTACTGTCCACACACTGTCCACACTGATAACCAGGCGAGCTGTGGAGTCATGGCTTAACTGACCATGATGACAATACGTTTAGGTAACTGTTGCAGGGTAGGTCTGCTTGATGGAACCGCTGGACAGAAATGATTTTGGGTCATTGGAGAGAAAGTAATAATCCATAACTGCTTTGAATCCAAGTCCTGCATCAAACAAACCTAGCTGAGGGTCTGCCATAGTTTGAGCATCTGCTGTCTTCAAAAAGTCATAGATGTCCGCATCTGTTGAAGACGAGGGGTATTCAAGGAGACCAGGAAACTTCTTCATCTTTCGTTTTGCTGTTTTGGCGTTTGCATGATGGCTCTGTGAAACAAGTAACGTGACAGGGGTGACTGCAAGTGCTGACCCACGCTGACACCACCAGCACTTTCTCCTAATAAGGTCACCCGGATTGGATCTAACACTTTTCGATCTGGTTCACGTCCTCCTCCATGGTCCCAGCTTATCATTGTTCTTTTACACAGGATATCTGATGCTAGTTACCCAGATTAGAGGCTGTTACCAAAAGCTATAATTTTGTCAGTCTGGATGAGATAGGAAGATATTTAAAAGTGCGTCTTGCGTATTACCTTAGCGTGATTCTTTGATTGTCAGGTTATCTTTAAACATGGTTGCCTTTATTAACGACCTGTCTCATGGAGTAGGTAGATGTGGAAAACAAAGTGATAAGTTCTTTCCAGACATCATTTATACATTAATGCTTTTATTTGCTTATGTGTGAGAGAAACACTAGTTGAAGCAATCTTGTTCTTATTTACAGTTCTGTTGAAGGTATCACGTGTGACATATAATGTAATTCTTTGATTGTAAGAGTGATTTCAAACTTCAAACAATGACATCAAACATTAGTTTTCGTTTGAGTAATACCATACTCCAAATTGTTAATCCAGGAAATGGCTTCTACATGTGTAATAACATATCAGTGGGGACTGTAACTTTCTCCAGAGAATTAGGAATCACGTGTTTAAAACATAAATCATATAATGATTCAGAGTGACAAAACACTATCCACAAGACTGTAGGATTAGAGGAATAACTTCAACTTTCCAAAAGTCTACTTTCCCTTCATGTCGAGCAATATTCCAGCAGCTCCTGCCTTGGTGTCTACATGTCACAACTTTTGATACAATCGAGCATGCTCTTTCTACCAAGATTTCATGGAGCATCATATGACTCTTGCTAAGAAGTTGTTTGATCAAGGTTCAAGGCCTCAGTAAAGCTTTCAATACGTTTTATGTGGAAGACATTTCTAAATCAGTGAGAACAATTATGTCCGATTAAATTCCATATTTTGACGTGTACCATATGTTCCCCATATTCTTTCGGGTGAACAGTTGACTTGCCTTTGCATGTGTTAGTGACGGATGCCACCGGTGGGGCAGGATACGCTACACCTTTTCACGAACACCTGGTATCATCACTATTTGATAGGGATTCATAAACACATGCACATGATATAGTCAGAATAGTACACTGGCTGCCTCGAGGGGGAAAAGCTGGACCAGAACCCTCATCATTCACCTGGGCTCCAACGACCTGTGCTTGGTCAAGGGAAGCCAACTCTACCTTGATATGGTGGCATCAATCCTTCGGATACGACTCCAGCTTCCCGACACCAGGA